AACACACACTCTCTTACACACATGCATCACCACGCAGGGAGAGGTACAGGCACACACACACACTTACACACATGCACCACCACACAGGGAGAGGTACAGGTACACAAACACACACACTCTCTTACACACATGCACCACCACACAGGGAGAGGTACAGGTGCAAACACACACACACTCTTACACACATGCGTCACCATGCAGGGAGAGGTACAGGCGCACAAACACACTCTCTTACACACGTGTCACCACGCAGGGAGAGGTACAGGCACACAAACACACACACACTCTCTTACACACATGCATCACCACGCAGGGAGAGGTACAGGTGCACAAACACACACACTCTCTTACACACATGGGTCACCACGCAGGGAGAGGTACAGGCGCACAAACACACACACTCTCTTACACACGTGTCACCACGCAGGGAGAGGTACAGGCGCACAAACACACTTTTACACACATGCGTCACCACGCAGGGAGAGGTACAGGCGCACAAACACACACACTCTCTTACACACATGGGTCACCACGCAGGGAGAGGTACAGGCGCATAAACACACACACTCTCTTACGTGTCACCACACAGGGAGAGGTACAGGTGCAAACACATACACACTCTTACACACATGCGTCACCACGCAGGGAGAGGTACAGGCGCACAAACACACACTCTCTTACACACGTGTCACCATGCAGGGAGAGGTACAGGTGCACAAACACACTCTTACACACATGCATCACCACGCAGGGAGAGGTACAGGTACACAAACACACACACTCTCTTACACACATGCATCACCACGCAGGGAGAGGTACAGGCACACAAACACACACACTCTCTTACACACATGCATCACCACGCAGGGAGAGGTACAGGCGCACAAACACACACACTCTCTTACACACATGCGTCACCACGCAGGGAGAGGTACAGGTGCACAAACACACACACTCTCTTACACACATGCGTCACCACGCAGGGAGAGGTACAGGTGCACAAACACACACACTCTCTTACACACATGCGTCACCACGCAGGGAGAGGTACAGGTGCACAAACACACACACTCTCTTACACACATGCGTCACCACGCAGGGAGAGGTACAGGTGCACAAACACACACACTCTCTTACACACATGCATCACCACGCAGGGAGAGGTACAGGCGCACAAACACACACACTCTCTTACACACATGCGTCACCACACAGGGAGAGGTACAGGTGCACAAACACACTCCTACACACATGCGTCACCACGCAGGGAGAGGTACAGGCGCACAAACACACACACTCTCTTACACACATGCGTCACCACGCAGGGAGAGGTACAGGCGCACAAACACACACACTCTCTTACACACATGCGTCACCACGCAGGGAGAGGTACAGGCGCACAAACACACAAACTCTCTTACACACATGCGTCACCACGCAGGGAGAGGTACAGGCGCACAAACACACACACTCTCTTACACACATGCGTCACCACGCAGGGAGAGGTACAGGCGCACAAACACACACACTCTCTTACACACATGCGTCACCACGCAGGGAGAGGTACAGGCGCACAAACACACACACTCTCTTACACACATGCGTCACCACGCAGGGAGAGGTACAGGCGCACAAACACACACTCTCTTACACACATGCGTCACCACGCAGGGAGAGGTACAGGTGCACAAACACACACACTCTCTTACACACATGCTTCACCATGCAGGGAGAGGTACAGGTGCACAAACACACTCCTACACACATGCGTCACCATGCAGGGAGAGGTACAGGCACACAAACACACACACTCTCTTACACACATGCGTCACCACGCAGGGAGAGGTACAGGCGCACACACACACTCTCTTACACACATGCGTCACCACGCAGGGAGAGGTACAGGTGCACAAACACACTCCTACACACATGCGTCACCATGCAGGGAGAGGTACAGGCACACAAACACACACACTCTCTTGCACACATGCATCACCACACAGGGAGAGGTACAGGTGCACAAACACACACTCTCTTACACACATGCATCACCATGCAGGGAGAGGTACAGGTGCACAAACACACTCTTACACACATGCGTCACCACGCAGGGAGAGGTACAGGCACAAACACACACTCTTACACACATGCGTCACCATGCAGGGAGAGGTACAGGTGCACAAACATACACTTACACACATGCATCACCGCGCAGGGAGAGGTACAGGCACACACACACACACATGCGTCACCACGCAGGGAGAGGTACAGGTGCACAAACACACACACTCTCTTACACACATGCATCACCACGCAGGGAGAGGTACAGGCACAAACACACACACACTCTTACACACATGCGCCACCATGCAGGGAGAGGTACAGGCGCAAGCACATACACACTCTTACACACATGCATCATCACACAGGGAGAGGTACAGGCACACAAACACACACACTCTCTTACACACATGCATCACCACACAGGGAGAGGTACAGGTGCAAACACATACACACTCTTACACACGTGTCACCACACAGGGAGAGGTACAGGTGCAACCACATACTCTTACACACAAGCGCCACCACACAGGGAGAGGTACAGGTGCAAACACATACACACTCTTACACACAAGCGCCACCACACAGGGAGAGGTACAGGTGCAAACACATACACACTCTTACACACAAGCACCACCACACGGAGAGGTACAGGTGCAACCACATACTCTTACACACAAGCGCGACCACACAGGGAGAGGTACAGGTGCAAACACATACACACTCTTACACACAAGCGCCACCACACAGGGAGAGGTACAGGTGCAAACACATACACATACACACACACACACACACACACACGCTTCACACCCGGAGAGGTACAGGCACACACACACCCAGACATGCTTCACGCAGGGAGAGGTACAGGTGTGTGCGTGCATACACACACACATGCTTCACCACACAGGGAGAAGTATAGGTACACACACACATACACACACACACTTACACATGCTTCACCACGCAGGGAGAGGTACACACACACACGCTTCACACAGGGAGAGGGACAGGGCACACACATATGTGCTTCACGCAGGGATAGTGCAGACACACACATATCCACACACTCACACACACACACACACTTGGCCATGACGTCCCTCATAGCCCACAGGCAAGAAAAGCAAGGAACTCACATTCCACGGCACTTGTTTCATAGCTGGAAGAGCGACCTGGCAGGCCTGTCACCTGGACAGCTTTTCCCAAGGGCATGAAAAGCCCTACATGTCTGTAAGGAGAAGCAGCCCAAGATAAAAACGGGCAGACCATGAAAACACAGCTCACAGAACAGAAACCACAACTGCTCCCCCGGGCCCGTGAGCAGATGTTCGTGACATCCGTGTGACATCATCGCACAGATCGGGTGAGAGTTGAGACAGAATGTGTGTTTCCTGGAGGATGGAGACGCAGTGCCGGAGCCCGGATGAGGTTCTCACATCGCAAAGTAGGCCTTGGGTCCACATCCGAGAGGAACCGACCCGCACAGACTCAAGCAAACAGGCACGGGGACAGTCACCGTGTCCGTGCTGAAACAGGTGACGCCATCGGACACCACCGATGGTGAAACAGGTGGACAGTCGTGCTTACACACGACAGCACAGGCAGTGACAGAGGCGAATGAACTCCATGGATGTGGAGCAACACATTTTAACACATGTTAAAAAACACCAGGACAAACACAGCACGTGCAAACTCAGACGTCTGGGTGGCAATTCCCACTCTCCCACCTTGGTGCTTAAACTCAAGAAACCGAGGTGCTGTTGTCAGGTGCATCCATTTGTAGTAAATGCATAAAACCGTGGCCAGAAAAGCAAGCTCCAGCTTGGGACAGTGGCTCCCTCTGGGGAGGGAGGGAGGGAGGCACATGGGGCCCCAGCTGGGTCTAAGCACAAGGCCACTGCAGTCCATGGGAAATGCAGAGGGTGTTATGTCTGGGCACAGGACCCCGGCATTTGTCCTGTGGCCCTGCTTTTGCATGTATCTGCAGAATTTCAGCCGAGGCCATGTCTGTCTAGATGCTGAGCCACCCCCCCGGACAAGCAGTGTCTTCATCTCCCATCAGCAATTCTACACCCCTTCCACCCATGCAGAGCGCAGCTCAGAGCCCAGCCTGGGGATGCATTTAAGATCTCAGCGACAGGAACACTGCCTAGGGGCCCTGCCAACTGCGCCCACTCCCAGGTAAGTGCCCAAAGCAACAGTAAAGCCCATGGTGCTGCAGCAGTCTTGCCTGTCACCTGCTGGTGGCTTACCTCACCACTGCTGTCACCTGACCATTGTCATTAAGTATTTAAAATATATGAGGCCAGGCTCGGTGGCTCATGCCTGTAATCATAGCCCTTTGGCAGGCCAAGTCAGGCGGATCACCTTGAGGTCAGGAGTTCTAGACCAGCCCGGCCAACATAGTGAAACCCTGTCTCTACAAAAATATAAAAATTAGCTGGGCATGGTGGCAGGTACCTGTAATCCCAGCTACTCGGCAGGCTGAGACAGGAGAATCACTGAACCCAGGAGGCAGAGGTTGCAGTGTGCTGAAATCACACCACTGCACTCCAGCCTGGGCGACAGAGGAAGACACTGTCTCAAAAATAAATAAAGTCAACTATGTCAGCCAGGCACGGTGGCTCACACCTGTAATCCCAACGCTTAGGGAGACCGAGGCCGGTGGATCACTTGAGCCCAGGATTCAGAGACCAGCCTGGACAACACATTGAAACCCTGTCTCTACAAAAAATACACAAATCAACCAGACATGGTGTCGTGTACCTGTAGTCACAGCTACTCGGGATATTGAGGTGGGAGGACTGCTTGAGTCCGGGAGGTGGAGGTTGCGGTAAGCTGTGATTGCGCCAGTGCACTCCAGCCTGGGTGACAGAGCCAGACCCCGTCTCTTTGTAAAGAAATAAAATGTGTGCCGGTGCCGGGCCTCCTCTTACCCACAGTCAGGGCCTCGAACAGCCGGTGGATGGTGCTGGCGTCCCTCACGATCCCCGACTCCTGGACCCGCTTCACAAAGTCGCCCAGCTGCATGTGCTTCTTGGGCAGCTGGAAGTTCTTCACGTGGTCATCCGGCTTTGAGGCCTCGTGCGGCTTGTCCAGGATCTCGCTGATGAGCCTCATCAGCTCTGGCGCCCGCTCAGCCTGCGCCCGCTCAGGAGCAGACATGGACTCCACTGTCCTCTTCACCAGATCAGCGGGAAAGATCCCTATGTCTGTTTTATACAGATTCTGGAAGTCCAAGAGGGCACTCAGCAGCTGTCCCTGCATCAGATGAACGAGCCCTCGGAGGTAGAAATAGCGGGCCAGGAGTAGAGAGTTGTCAGGAGCCAGAAAGCCCATGGCCTTGGTCAGCAGGGCGGCAAAGTCGGCGTAGTAAGCCTGCACACACTGGCCCACCAGCGGGAAGTGGATTTCTGGAATCTTGAACATGTATGTGGACTTGGGCGGCACATTCAGAACTAAAACATTAAGGGGAAAGGAGACCATTAGCACAGACCTCAAAAATGAACAGCTGTACCTGTCACGCCATCTTGTCAAGGCGAGGCTTCCCTGGATGAAGAGTAAAATGAGAACAGGTGTGCCCTCTGCAGAACGATCCACACGCCCACCCCCCAGGAGGCATGGAGGACCCTCATTTTGCTTCCATGGTGCCCCAAAGAAAGCAGCAGCTAGCATTCACTGAACAATTTCATCTGCTGCAACTAGTAACACTATGGCAGTACCGGATGCTGAGGCTTGACATGAGGATCAAGCTCAGAGCCTAAGCCAAGATGCACTTGCTAGGCAGGACTCAGCCCTTCAGAACAATAGTTTCACTGACCATAAAGAGAACTCAGGAGCGGGGCACTGTCATTATGGTCCTGTTCTACCATGTGGAAACTGAGGCTGCCACAGCCTGGGTTACTTGTCCCAGGTGCACACCAGCTAAGCGCCTGAGCCAACCGTAACCCAGGTGTGTGACTCACACTAGCTCCTCCTATAGCTGTTACCTAAGGGCCGACTGGGTGCTGGGTTTCCTCTTCTTAAAGGAGCTCCAGTGGGCCAAGAGAGCAGGAGCGGGGTTGCAAGGACAAGGAAAGCGGAGCACACTCTCAGGGGACCCACAGCACCATGGGGAAGGGGGCAGCCCTCACCTGCACCACTGCCCCTGCAACCCATGGTGTCTGTCAGTCGGAGCGAGGAGTTTCTGGGTGCCAGCTCGGGCGTGGCGATGTCCTGCAGGTCGGGCATGCTGACCACCATGCGCCTGTGGGGGACGTGCAGGGGTGAGGACTTCCGAGAGGCGATTTTCTCCACAGTTGGTCTCCTTGGACTTAGGAGCATTCCGTTTATTCTGGGGGAGGGAAAGCAACGTTTGACTTTATGGACACAATCATGATTAAAGAATAGGCCTAAACAAAGCACTCTTCCCAGTGTAATGGAGAGCAGGTGACACCCTTGCACACCAATGGAAACAGAGTGTAAGAACGTGTTGCCCAAATCTCACCATGTGCAGCCTCAGAGGGACCCAGACGCATGCCCAGAAGAAACCAGTGTAAGCCAACAGAGCCCTGTCTGCAGTGGACACGTGTGGAGGGGCTCAGTAAAAGCAGCAAGGAAGAGATGGAAAACAAAGCAGGCTTTGAGGATGGGGGGCGGAGAGAGGAGATGAGAGAGAGTAGCACCGAGGAAGATGCGGGGCCACAAACCCCGGGGAGCACGCTAACATCTGGCACACTTCAAGCATTCCCTCAAGAAGTAGAAACAGGTACAGTGGCTCACACCTGGAATCCCAGCCCTCAGGGAGGCCCAGGCGGGTGGATCACCTGAGGTCAAGAGTTCAAGACCAGCCTGGCTGACATGGTAAAACCCCATCACTACAAAAATACAAAAACTAGCCAGGCATGATGGTGGGTGCCTGTAATCCCAGCTACTTGGGAGGCTGAGGCAGAAGAATCACTTGAACCCAGGAGGCAGAGGTTGTAGTGAGCCAAGATTATACCATTGCACTCCAGCCTGGGTGACAGAGCAAGGCTCCATCTAAAAAAAAAGCTGGGCGCAGTGACTCACACCTGCAATCCCAGCACTTTGGGAAGCTGAGGCAGGTGGATCACCTGAGGTCAAGAGTTCAAGACTAGCCTGACCAACATGGAGAAACCCCGTATCTACTAAAAATACAAAGTTAGCCAGGCGTGGTGATGGAAGCCTGTAATCCCAGCTACTCAGGGGGCTGAGGCAGGAGAATCACTTGAACATGGGAGGCAGAGGTTGTAGTGAGCCAAGATCACACCACCACACTCCAGCCTGGGCAACAAGAGCAAGACTCCATCTCAAAAAAAAAAAAAAGTACAAACGTAGAGAGGAGAGCTTCCTAGCTGCCGCCCAGTCCATCATGAGTTTCTAAGCACAAGGCATGTCCCGCTTTCTCGTTTACTCATTTGAATAAAACTGAGGTCCTTGAGCACTATGATTCCCAAAGAGCTGTGGGTCCAAAACACGATGGGGAAGCACCTGTCCTCCTCCGACTGGGTGTGAAGGTCCATCTGGGCGAAGGCGTCCATCCTCCGGCTGAGCCGAGCTTTAAGGAAAGAATGGAACATGTAGGTGTCTAAGACCTGGAAGAGACAAAAGGGCCAGTCACTGGGCTGTGCTGATGCCCCGGGCCCCCGCCCCAAAGCCCCCGAGCCTCCTGGCATGGAACTGGGCCGCACAACTCGCACACACCCAGTGGGCGCTGGCTGAGTGAATGAACTCAAGGGCTTTCTGCTGTTCCTCATGCATACAGAAGAAATGGCTGTCATACATTCAAACACTGGGTCTCACATACCCACACCATGAACAAAAGCACATTTCATCAGAGCTAAACGAGGTGGACACACGCTTCTGGCCGTAAGGCAGTATGCAAGACTCAGACAGACCCTCCTGACATAAGCTATGAGGAAACTTCATCCTAAGGAGGAAACCACTGTTTTTCAGACACTGGACAAGAGGCAGGCTGGTGGCTGGCACAGCTCCACCACTGAGGGCACGGAGGGAGCTCCCGGAGGCTGAGGCCGCTGGAAGCCTCGGGCAGGGCTCTGGAGAGGAAGGGATGAATCCAGGAGCTCCCGGAGCCTGCATCAGGCTCCCTAAGACTTTGCTGAATACCCCGATGCCGAGACATAGGGTGAACTCTCCAAGCTCACAAAGGGAAGAGGGCCAGTCACGTTCCCAACAGCCAGGACGGAGGGCCCTGCTAACCCCGGGCCATTCAGGAGCCATGAGGGGGTGCACATCACTTAGCAAATGGGCCAAGCCAGAAACCAGCCATAGAAAAAAAGCTGCTCTTGGCCCACCCCAAAGCTGTAAAAACAAACTCCACAAGGACCAAGGGGCTCTTCAGGCAGCTTCTATCGCCTGCCCCAGCAACGCCCCCAGGGTGATTTTTTTTTTTATAATAGTCACAAGCAGAAACAACCCAAATGCTCAGTAGCAGGTGTAGAACAAAGTGCACTTTGTCCCAACCACAGGACATTCCTACAAAAAAAGGAGCCGCCGCCGAAACACACAGCAGCCCAGCTCAGTCCAAAGCAGGAGGCTCAGGAGAGAGGCAGACAGAGCACGGACCACGGGACCGCATGACACAAGCCTCAGAGACGGGCAAACCATCCACAGGGTTAGGGTAAAGTTGCCAGGACCTGGGGAGGGAGGGGGCTGACTAGGACGATGGTAACATTCTATGTCCAGGTTGAGGAAGTAGTGATACAGATATGTACATGTGTCAAAATCCATCAAACCACACTCTTAAAATGGCCGTATTTTAAGTAAAGTATACTCTTATTTATTTATTTTTTTTTTTTTGAGAGAAATCTTGCTCTGTCATCCAGGTTGGAGTGTAGTGGCACCATCTTGGCTCAATGCAACCTCCGCCCCCTGGGTTCAAGCAATTCTCCTGCCTCAGCCTCCTGAGTAACTGGGATTACAGAGGTGCACTACCACACCCAACTAATTTTTGTGTATTTTAGTAGGGACAGGATTTCACCACATTGACCAGGCCAGTCTCAAACTCCTGACCTCAGGTGATCCACCCACCTTGGCCTCCCACAGTGTTGGGATTAAAGGTGTGAGCCACCATGCCTGGCCATAAGTATATTATACTCTTAAAAAGCTGATTTTAAAAAGAGAGAGAGAGTCAGAGCCACATGATCAAAAGATGCTAAAACAAACTTTTTGGAAAACTGATAAAATTGAGAACTTTTATTGTGAAAAGTATAGGATAACAGGATAACAGAGTGAACACACACAGGCACACCCAAATCCCACAGCTCTCACCTGCTTATAAAACTGATGGTCCCCTGGAGCCCTGGTTTTGAGAAATTCTTCACTGTTGAAGACTCTGTGTTCATAATTTAAATGATTCTTCACATCCCTAAGAGAAAGATAGTCTGAGTGCTACAACATTCTTAAATACTTGAAGAACAAACCACCTTTAGCAGCAGAAAAATGGTGACAAGAGATACAAACTTTGAAAAAGCTCTGTTCTTTAGAAAGATTATTGATTACCAAAATGATACGATATGGATGTATTTTGTGGTCACATATAAACTTCCCAACTAGAATAAAGCTCCAGCAGAAGTGTTCCTGTTCTCACCTTCCTCCAGCCCGCTAGTTCCTCATGCAAATTAAGACACAAAAATCAGTTTCAGTTCATACACATGAAACTGAGTTCCAGGTGGGGAGCCCAGAGCGCGGCCAGAACCTCCAAGTCCTGCCTAGCTTGGCCGCCAGCCTCCTGCCACAAGTCACTTCACCTCTGTTCGTTTGTTTTTCAGACGGGGTCTCACTCTAGGCTGGAGTGTAGCGGTGCAGTCTAGGCTCACTGCAATCTCTGCTGCCCAGGTTCAAGCGATTCTCCTGCCTCAGCCTCTTAGGTAGCTGGGACTACAGGTGCACACCACCACACCAAGCTAATTTTTGTATTTTTAGTAGAGATGGGGTTTCACCACATTGGCCAGGCTGGTCTCAAACTCCTGACCTCAGGCGATCTGCCCGCCTCAGCCTCCAAAGTGCTGGGATTACAGGTGTGAGCCACCGTGCCCCAGCCCACTTCACCTCTTTGTACCTGATTTCCTCAGATCATGTTATAAACTCATCAAGATTTTAGCACATGATCTCCCAGATCTAAAGTCATATACAAGTAGAACGAATAACCTTACAGGGCATATTGGCACATAATGTGTTCAGTGTTTTCCTTGAGAGAATAAGTTATTTCATCTAGGGGAAATAACATTTTATCATCTGCAATCATATTTTCTGCTTCTTTTTTTTAAAAAGCCGGGATCTTGCTATGTTGTCCAGGATGGTCTCAAACTCCTAGCCTCAAGGGATCCTCCCACCTTAGCCTCCTGAGTGGCTGGGACTATCCTGCTTTTCTGTCAACTAATTGAGCTTGTAAAATACTATGAAAAAAACTTGTTCATACAACATTTCATCTTCAAAGAACAAAAGGAAAACAACGTATTTAGGACCACACTAATTACGCCTCTTTGAGCAGAGATAATATCACCTGTCGGTAATACACCATCCCATTTTTCCTAATATGTTATTCACTTTATGCAAATAAATACATCAAAAGAACAGGCTGTTCAGGCCAGGTGCAGTGGCTCACGTCTATAATCCCAGCACTTTGGGAGGCCAAGGTGGGCGGATCACCTGAGGTCAGGAGCTGGAGACCAGCCTGGCAAATATGTCAAAACCCCATCTCTACTAAAAATACAAAAATTAGCCAGGCGTGGTGGTGTGCGCCTGTAGTCTCAGCTACCCGGGATGGTGAGGCAGGAATATCGCTTGAACCTGGGAGGCAGCAGTTGCAGTGAGCCAAGACTGCGCCACTGCACTCCAACTTGGGCAACAGAGTAAGACTCTGTCTCAAAAAAAAAGGCCATCCAAATCTCCATTTTGAAATAATCACACAGAGTACTATCAAGCCAGCAGGCTCTGTGCTAACCCCCTCCCAAAGCAGAAGGCCCCTCAAGAACAGACAAGGCTGGCATCGGGGGTGCCTCTGTTACTGCTGGACTCAGGGGCAACCATCGAGAAGGAGAGGAAGAATGCTGCCAGAGAAAAGGAGAAAGGGTGGGAGAAAGAGAGGGCCCAAAGGCTTTTGCACCAAAAAGTACTTATCTATGAAGCTATCATTTTGCCATGCATTCCTATGACTGCACGTGTAGGCCTGAAACAGCAGCTCAGTACCTGTACTGTATCACACTGAAATAAACGACCTTGACTCGTCCACTTCACCGACGAGCTCAAGTGCTAGGGAAGGAAGAGCATGCAGGGCGTATCTGATGCTACAATTACTGGCATGAGGAGAAGAAAAACCTTCTAATGGGCGCATCTTGAGTCTGCATCCTCCTGTGGCTCTCCCATACCTGGTTTCATTATCTAGCTTGAGTCACATCAAAATGCCCCATCTGTCCCTCACTGGCCCCTGAATGCAGGCTTCTCGGGACAAAGCCCTCTGCAGACTGACCCAGAGCCCGGAACCAGCACAGGCCAGAGTGACATGGGCTTCCCGGAGGTCACTCGAATCTCCCTAGGGGGCTTCCCCAAAACAGCCAACCGCAGGAGTCAGCAGTAGGAGAGAGCGTTAGGAAGGTACAAGCAGGGTCAGAGTCAAAAGAATGAACTCACCAGATGCCTGCTGATTTTAACAGTCACAAGAAAAGCTTTTGCAGGGATAGGGACCACTCATGTTTGCCAGGCAGATGGTGCCGATGGCCTGCATGCTGGGGCGGGGCGCGCAAGCCCTGTGGAATGGGCGGCTGGAGGGTTACCCTTTCCTGGACGCTGGAATGTCCTCTCACGTACCTGAAGACGCTCACGAGCAGCTGCAGGGTGGTCTGCTGTATCTGGCAGTTGAGTTTCTGCTGCCATGCCCGCGGTGGGCTCGGCCCTCATTCAGGTCTGTGCTGGAGCAGAGGTGGGCAGCGTGCAGCTCGTGGTGGAGCTGGAGGCTCTGCACCCTGGAAGGAGGCAGATCAAAGCAGGCTCAGCCCCAGTGCCGCCAGCCATGGCCACTCACCAGCGGCACACAGCCCACCAGGTCAATGAACACTTCACAGGGTTAAATACAGATCAGTAATTTGAGGGACAGGGTGGTCACTAAAAGTACATCCCTGGAAGAGCTGATTCACCGCCACACATGGACTCACACAGGCCTTGACTTGGACTACACACAGTTCACCCAGGCCAGATCATCCCCGCCGCGGCACTGCAGTCAGGGCACTCTCCCTTCTAGGACACCAAAGGGCTCCAGGTAAGGCTGCCTCTTGACAGGTCACTCAGAGCTGCCCAGAAGGGACAGTCACACTCCCCCATGGCTTCCCCTCTGCACTTCTTGCCCAGGCAGGATCAGATGGCCCTCTGTGCCCTGCAACAAATGTCCTAGTTGTCACCACTCTTGGCCCACCAGGAGATGGCCACACACTCATCCAGAGGGCCTCACTCAGGCACAGAAACTCACAGATACCTGTCAACCCTAAGGCACCGTGAGACTGGACCCCTGGCCTTCCCAACACCACTCAAGGCTGCATGTCTAGAGGGACGGTGGAAATATACAAAATAAGCAGAACCAACACATATCCGGTCACACATATTACTGAGCACCTGCTATATGCCATCCACTGATCGGCGTGCTGGGGAGGCATGGTGGACACAGGCCAAGCCCCTGCCTGTCTGCATGGCACTTCACGTGAGTGGGAGGAAGCAGGAAAACAGACAACCCAAGAAAACAAGAGATAACGGGGCATCAGGCAGAGACATCAGGCAACACAGAGCGACAGGCTAGAGAGACACGACAGTCAGACTGAGCACAGGGAGAAGAGTTCTCCCAGGAGGTGACCTGGAACCTGAAATGTGACAGGAAGAGGCAGGCAGGAGCTTGCTGGACCCAGTGCAGCCTAGGTCAGCATGGCCGGCAGGAGCCAGTCTTCATCTCTGTGATGAGAAGGGTACTGGCCACAGGCCCCTGCCACTGCCTGACCCTCCTGGAGGAAGGGACAGGAAAAGGGAAGAACAGAATTCTGGGTGGAGCGGCCCGCCAGGGGATGGTAGCAGGCAGGTGGCACCAGGGCCAGGACCAGCGTTCTCTCCAAATGTGCTGAGTGGGAGCTGCTGAGGGGCCAGCCCAGCCCTGGCTGACCAGACTCATGGGACTTGGGCAACTACCCCTGCCTAGAGGGGTCTCAAGAACTGCAATGTTCATCAGCACCAAACTGGCCTTTCATCCAGAAGAACATGCAGAATGGCAGGGAAAGAAATTCTGATGACTCTCCCCATGTAAAAAGGGCTAAGATGCCGCCTGGAGTGCCAGCTTCTCTTCCTGCATCCTCTGGTGCAGGGACTGCTGCCCGTGAGACAGCGACTTCCATCAGAGACAAAGATAGCAGTGCAGAGAGTGACCAAGACCCCAGGGTGCTGGGGAAAGCTGGGGAAGGAGGGGGCTGCCCCGTCCCTCCCAGCCACACACCCATGTGCAGAGAGATGCACAATGCACTCCAGACCCCTCAAGGAGACCCCCTCCCACTACAGCCCAGAGCCCGTACAGTGAGCTCAGAGGCCTCTTATAGACAGGTCACCCAGGGCACACAGATTAGCTCATGTTTATAAAACAATCTCCAAAAATGAGACTGGGATACATGTCACCCTGCATCTCCATTCTGGGGGCTCCAGCCAAAACAGGGTCCAGCCTCCACACCGTGTATGTTTATATTCCGGAATTCTAACAAGAACATGAAGACACAGGTGGGAATCCCACCTTCCTGGGAACGCTCAGAGCTCCACCACAGTCTCACAAAGGTCAGTTCTATTACACAGTGCTACACTGGAAACTCAAGGAAGCAGCTGTGGCTTATAAGAAAGTAAGTGACTAAGACGACTGGGAAAGCACGTGTCACCTTTGAAGTTCACACAGAGGACAGTTCCCAACAGAACGGCTGCTCAGGTGCCCTCGGCTGGGAGGAGAGCCCACAACTGCACGGCCCAAGCAAACACAAACAGACCTTGCCTGTGCGAGACCGTCGCTTAGCTTTAGGGCCTTTGGGAGTTCTGTCAGATGGAAGAGCAATAACAAAAGTAGTTCTCTGGCCCGGCATGGTGGCTCACACCTTAATCCCAGCACTTTGGGAGGCCGAGGCAGGTGGATCACCTGAGGTCAGAGTTTGAGACCAGCCTGGCCAACATGGTGAAACCCCATCTCTACTAAAAATATAAAAATGAGCCAGGTGTGTTGGCAGGTGGCTGTAGTCCCAGCCACTCAAGAGGCTGAAGGAGGAGAATCCCTTGAACCTGGGAGGCAGAGATTGTTGTGAGCTGAGATTATGCCACTGCACTCCAGCCTGGGCGACAGAGCAAGACTCTGTCTCTTAAAAAAAAAACAAACAAGGTAGTTCTCCTAAACATTTTGCAGAAAGCTTCCAGGTAGAAGGAATAATCCATACCAAGTTAAGAGTCAGAAATTGGAAAAGCCAGGCCAGAAACCGCCCTCCTCCTCTCCACTCCCCCAGCTCTCAGCTCCCTCGTCATTTGACCTCCCAACGCAAGGACAGAAGGCGAAGAGAGGAAAGGTGACTGCTGACCAGAATCCAGGCTGCTCGCAGGCTCCACCCGAAGCTCAGCTCCTACAGCCCAGCTCTTTGCAAAAAACCCAAGCGCTCCCCTCCCACCAGCATCAGCTCCAGAAATCGCACTTCGGCCTGACTGCAGCTGGATCCCACAGGCTGCTCTCTCCTGTTGTCAGTTTATAAAATGCTGAAGGGAAAAATGAGCTCTGCAGAGAACCCTGAGGAGCCCTGGCCCAGGAGATGAGTCACTGCTTGGGGCACACCCAAGATGACCCAACATCTCCATTTTAACATATTTAGCAATTACACCTCCTCTCACCCTCCCCTGACCAAAGTCCCTGTTACGTCTCTTCACCACGACAGAGACCTCAGGGCCGCCAAAGCCTGAAATATTTATCATTTGACCCTGTTGAAAGAAGTTTGCTGATGCCTGATCTAAGCCAATGAGGTTAAGTAACAGAGATTAAAGAAAACATAAAACTATAAAATGGTATGAAAAAATAAAGTGCCAGACCAGGCACGGTGACTCATGCCTGTAATCCCAGCACCCTGGGAGGCCGAGGCGGGCAGATCACGAGGTCAGGAGTCAAGACCAGCCTGGCCAACACGTAGTGAAACCCCATCTCCACTAAAAATACAAAAAATTAGCTGGGCATGGTGGTGGACACCTGTAATCCCAGCTACTCGGGAGGCTGAGGCAGGAGAATCACTTGAACCCAGGAGGCAGAGGTTGCAATGAGCCGAGATTGCACCATTGCACTCCAGCTTGGGTGACAGAGCAAGACTCCACCTAAAAAAAAAAAATAGGAAGAAAGTACCAATATAGTGCCGGGAAGTGTAAGTGAAAGAAATGGAAACTTCCAGCTCAGGGAGAATGGGCCATGCCCATCAGAACCCAACAGACTGACAAAGTCACAGGGACAGGGGCCATGGCTGTCCTGCCATTAGTACGTAAGCCCTACCCAATTCCAGGTATACAACAGGTATGCAATACACATCTAGTGAATGAATGAATGAATGAACGGATGGATAGGAAACCTCAAGGATCATAGGCACAGGATCCTGGGGCACAGGGCAGAGGTTGGGTAGGTTTCCTGGGGGAGGTGACTGTCTCTTGACTCAAACTAACATTTAGACAATATTGGAATAAAGACAAATCACTTTTATTTAAAAACATTCACGGCTGGGTGCAGTGACTCATGCCTGTAATGTCAGCACTTTGGGAGGCCAAGCTGGATGGGTCACTTGAGGCCAGGAGTTTAAGACCAGCCTGGCCAACATGGTGAAAACTGAAAACACAAAAATTAGCCAGTCATGGTGGTGGGTGCCTGTAATCCCAGCTACTTGGGAGGCTGAGGCAGGAGAATCACTTGAACCTGGGAGGCAGAGGTTGCTGTAAACCAAGATTACCTTGCAAGAATAAGACTTCATCTCAAAAACAAATTCATAAATAATTTCCAAATATAATGCATAAAATACCTATCAATTATATAAAATTGGAAAAGATACTCAAAGTGGCAAATACAAAATCTGAACAAAGATGGTCTGAAATTCATACTATTAATGTTTCCCGTTACCTCTGAATGAATGTCTGGGCAGCCAGGAGGGGGACGTCAGGAATGTCCACAGTGTCGCTCGCAGACTTGGAGTAGGTGACGCTCCCATGATCAATGTTTACCAGAACTAAGCCGTCAGCTTCCTGGAAAACAGGAGTGATCTGTAAAGACGGTGGAAGCGGCTCAGAGTTTGCACACCTCTTTGAAAATACACAAATCTATTGTGCATCCACCAAGACAGGGTCACCATTAACTCACTGACCCTCTTTAAAATGCACAGAGAGGCCAGGCCTAGGATTACACGCCTGTAATCCTAGCACTTCGGGAGGCCGAGGCAGGGAGACTGCTTGAGCCCAGGAGTTTGAGACCAGCCTGAGCAACACAGTAAGGCTGTCTCTACAAAAAAATTTAAAAGAAATTAGCCAAGTACAGTAGTGCATGCCTGTGGTCCCAGCTACTCGGGAGGCTGAGGCAGGAGGATCCCTTGAGCCCAGGAGGTCGAGCTGCTGCAGTGAGCTGAGATCACACCACTGCACTGAAGCCTGGGCAGCAGGTCAAGACCCTCTCTCAAAAAAAAAAAAAAACCATAATAAAATAAATGTACACATAGCCTTATATTTTCTACACATCTAGTATATAAAAACTAGTATATATCGTGAGTTATGTTAGTGCCGGGAAGTGAAAGTGAAAGAAATGGAAACTTCCAGCTCAGGGAGAATGGGCCACGCCCATCAGAACCCAACAGACTGACAAAGTCACAGGACAGGGGCCATGTTTGGGGCTAAATTTCATTAAATATGCCTTTCTCTTATTTTTCTAACTGTGGTAAAATGAACATAAACTGTATCAACATAAGCATTGCTAAGCATGCAGCTCAACAGCGTAAGTGCATTTGAGTGGCTGTGCAAGCATCTCCCCCCTCCATCCCCAGAACGTTTTCATCATCCCAAACTGAAACCGTCCCCATCCAGCACAGCTCCCACCCTCCCCTCCATGCGCCCACCATTCTGCTTCCTGTTTCCACGAATTCGACTCCTCTAGGGACTTCAAACAAGTGGATTCACGAACAGCATTTGTTCTTTTGGGGCTGGCCTATTTCACTCAGCGCTGATGTCGGTGAGGCTCACCCATCTGCGGCACGTGTCAGACAGCCCTGGCTTCTTCAGCCTCAATAGTCCGTTATTTGGAAAGACCACATTTTGCTTACCCATATGCCGTTCTCTTTCAGTCAAGATTCCAGTACAGGCCAGGTGAGGTGGCTCACGCCTGTAATCCCAGCACTTTGAGAGGCCAAGGCAGGTGGATCACCTGAGGCCAGGAGTTCAAGACCAGCCTGGCCAACATGGCAATAACCTCGTCTCTACTAAAAATACAAAATTAGCCAGGCATGGTGGCATGGTGCCTATAATCCCAGCTACTCAGGAGGCTGAGGCAGGAGAATTGCTTGAATCTGGGAGGAGGGGTTTGCAGTGAGCTGAGATCTCACCACTGTACTCCAGCCTGGACAACAAGAGTGAACTCGGTTTCAAAAAAAAAAAAAAAAGATTCCAATACATATTGTTGTGAAGGTTTCTCCTACCCTGGTACAAACACTGCATGTACTGCTTCTTAGAGTCCTGGAAGGAGCATTCCAGAACTCCAGTGAGGGCACCACCAACCTCCAACGCCCAGGGTGGACGCTTAGCTCCCCAGCCAGCTCCGCCCCTCCACGTACCAGGGCATGGGCAGGGCCTGGGCTAAGAGACCACGAAGCCCTGGGATATTTGAATATGCACATGGATGACTTGGAGAGTCCCCTGTGACAGAGTACACAAACACTGAGTAATGCGCTCGGGTCCCCCACTCCAGCAGCCCCGGAATGTGATACCAGGTTCCCGGCCAAGGTCCCAACTCCCAGCTCTCATTCTGGGCCCTGCCCTCTAGAGTGCAGTTCAGGTGGCTGCGTGAAATATGTGCAAACACATTCTTGGCCTCGAAACCATACAAGGTAAATGCACAAAACGCTACAGCAGCGAGGCACACAGCTGGCCCAGTGTAGGTGTAACACCCAGTGTCTCTGGAGATGCAGAAGGGTTTCGTGGAGGTGCATAGGGTCACTGCCAGACACAAAAAACAAATGCCCAACCAACCCAGAAGAGCAGCTGCTTCTCCCAAAATCCCTCCACAACATCTCCCCGTTGGCTGGAACTGCTAGGTTAATGCGTAAAACGGTTCTCCTCCGAAAACAGCCTGAAACATGATTTTTTTTCCCTAATGATTAAGAAAAGAAACAACTTTGAGCTTCAGAACACAGCTTAGTTTCTCCTCGTCTGCGAGGCGGGCTGGTGACGCTTTTCCACTCCTTCCATGGAGGTCTGTATGGCCTTTTCCTGAAGTGTGTTTCCCCACTGACTCACTCGCCTGGGCAGGAACACACAGCACTGTTCTACCCCGAAGCGGGAACCCTGGCCAGGCCAGCCGACAGCCCTTCCCAGCACTTATGGGGGAAGCATCTGGAGCCTAGGATTTGCTTTCAAATGCTCTGGGAAAAGCAGTGCTGTCGGTGACTACAAAGCTGGGAACAGGCTGAGGACTATGAGGGGCTCAGGACACACGCTGTATTCTTCTATTTTATCATATTTAGAAATTTTCAAAACGGGGCGGGGCACAGTGACTCACGATTGTAATCCCAGCCCTTTGGGGTGGATCACTTGAGGCCAGAAGTTCAAAAGCAGCCTGGGCAACACGGTGAATCCCCATCTCTACTAAAAATACAAAAATTAGCCAGGTGTGGTGGCATGCACCTGTAATCCCAGCTACTGGAGAGGCTGCGACAGGAGAACTGCTTGAGCCTGGGAGGCAGAGGTTGCAGTGAGCTGAGATCGCACCATTGCACTCCAGTGTAGGGAACAGAGAGAGAGTCTATCTCAAAAAAAATGAAAGATATTTTCAAAATGGAAAGTTGAAGTACACCTACCCTGTAGAAAGCACCACTAAGCACAGGAAAGGATCTCATATCATCACCGGGGAAATGCACGTGAAACCGAAGCGAGACACCAGCTCCTCCTCACCAGGAGGGCCCGCAATTAAAAGGAGACAACACCTGGTGCTGGCAAGGACGTGAGCAGAAGCTGGACCCCTCGTACTGCTGCTGGGAGTGGAAAACCAAGTGGCCGCTTTGGGAAAACAGCCTAGCAGTTCCTCAAAGGGTTAAACAAAGAGCTGCCTTACGACCCAGCAATTCAACTCCTAGGGACACACCGGAGGGAAACAGAAGCACACATCCACACAAAACCTGCACACAAGTGTCCACAGCAGCATTAATCACAGCAGCCAAAAGTGCAAACAACCCACATGGCGTCACTGAACACTGTAATGCAGATTTTATCACGACAACCTCATTGTGCGTGGATAAACAAATTCGGTCTACGGTGAAACCCTCGTCAGCGATAAAAATAAAGTGCTGAGAGATGCTCCAGCGTGGAGGAGTCTCACACCCATGATGTGGGAAGGACCACGCATGGAGTGACTGTTCCCATGAAAGGTCCAGAACCGCAAACCCAGAGACAAGGCGCACGGGTGCGGCGGCCAGTGCTGGGGTTGACTGCTGATGTGTGCAGGGTATTTTTATGGGGTGACGAAAATTTCCTTTCTAAAATCGGACAGCAGATGGTTACACAACTCTATAAATATCCTAAAACCCACTGAATCATGCATTTTAATTGGGTAAACTTTGAGGTATGTAAATTGTATCTCAATAAAATTATTTTTAAAAACCAAACCCAGTCCTCCTGTTGGCATCTTGACAAGACTTAGCACAAATCCATGCACTCACCGATGGAGAACATGCCATGTCAGGCCCGCGGAGGGGTCGCAATAGCGCCACCCACAAGAACCTACTTCTGGCCCGGCGCTGGCAACTGCCTCACTCAGTCCTCATCAGGATAATGAGGTGACCACACTCACTGTCTTGTCTCCACTGGGATACTAAGGGGTCCCAGCTTCACCACAGGACGATGACACAGCAAGCGACCAGCCACTTCTCATGGTGCCCGTGACCTCGCTGTGACACAGAGACCCCGCCTTCACCACAGAGCAGTTTCAGACGCATCTCTCCATGTGTCCCCGTGATGGACTCACAGGAATTTAGCATTCCAAACCAAAGGTTCTCAACCTAACCTTGCTGACTTCTTCGAAGTGGTCAAGATGGCAGCCCATGAGGAATGACGTGGGGGCCATGACGAAATCCAGCATCTGGTCCGACAGGATGGGCACGAAGGGGTGCTGCCACTGCAGGGGGTGCAGGTAGGCCATGAAGCACTCGGCAACCAGTGTCAGCAGAGCCCAGTCTGAGGAGAAGAATACGATCCGCTGTTCCATCAGGATGCACGTCAGGATCTGAGGGGAGAACCCACCACACTGAGTGCACACTTTTGAAAACAAAAAATACAGAGAGGGTCTCACTGTGTTGCCCAGGCTGGAGTGCAGAGGTGTGATCACAGCTCACTGCAGCCTTGAACTCCTGGGCTCAATCCTCCCACCTTGGCCTCCCAAGTATCTGGGACTACAGGAATGTGCCTCCACATCCAGCCAGCTTTAAAAAATTTTTTTTTGTAGAGACAGGGTCTCCCTATGTCGCTCAGGCTGGTCTCAAACTCTTGGCCTCAAGCAGTCCTTCCACTGCAGCCTCCCAAAGTGCTGGGATTAGAGGCATGAGCCACCGCGCCCGGCCTGCATACATACTTCCGATTCAGTGCAGTACAGAGAAAATGCTTATGAACACACCACCCAACACAACCAGACTGACTGCAGGCTCTTCCCTGGTCTCTCAGCTCTATCTGCCAAACAAAAGCCACCTGAGACCCCACAAAGACTGCCATTTGCAAATACCAGTCACTGTAGGGAACGCTGGCTTTAAAAAATAATAATAAACATTTCGAGTATACCGGTGGGTACGCTGTGGAAGAAACTCGCAGTTTCTTTTTTTTTTTGAGACAGAGTTTCACTCTTGTTGCCCAGGCTGGAGTGCAATGGCTCGATCTCGGCTCACCGCAACCTCCCTCTCCTGGGTTCAGGCAATTCTCCTGCCTCGGCCTCCTGAGTAGCTGGGATTACAGGCACACGCCACTATGCCTAGCTAATTTTTTGTATGTTTAGTAGAGACGGGGTTTCACCATGTTGACCAGGATGGTCTCGATCTCTTGACCATGATCCACCCGCCTCAGCCTCCCGAAGTGCTGGGATTACAGGCGTGAGCCACCCCACCCGGCCGGAACTTGCACTTTCATCATCCCTGATCATCATTCCCAGGCCCCACTAAGCTCGTGAGCACAAGACGTGCTCGTGGGGATGGCGGAGCGCACCTGCAGCACCTTCTCTGGCCGGAAGCACAGCAAGGGCAGGTGAAGGTCCAGGTCCAGGACAGGGCTTTCAGGGTCTGCTCGGGCGGGAAACACAATCTGGAGCGGCTTCATGTTAAAAACCTGCGACAGCCAGTTCCCAGCATTAGTTGAGAGAGCTGTTCCAGGCAGAGGCTGAAATGCACTCAAGTCACTATTTCCACAGAGTGGGCATCAGAGCTAGAAAACATTTCTGAAGACACAGGCTGCCACGTTAAATTATGCAGAATAACTAAACAGTTTAGAGATACACAGAACTGCAGATAAAGGCTCAAACATAAATTAAGTACTTAATGTCTTTTTCTAAGAAAGCCAAATTCCTTAAACTCTAATCAGCAAACTATTCATTGTCCAGACAGAGGTAAACTACAGACCAGATATTTGTACCCATTAACACCAATTCTAAATCAAGCATGTTCAAATTATTCCTAGGTATTATATATTCTTAGTTACTGTATGCTACAAACTCTCTTAATATTTTCAATTTAATAGTCAAAGCTCCTTCAAGACATATACATTTAAAAATTTAAGAAAGACATTTTTCTAAATATATTACTTTGAATTCACACTTCAATTCGAATTCTGCATTCACTGAATGGCTACTGAGATGCGGCTGGACCTGGCAGAGGGAATCCAGAGGAGGAGGTTCAGTTCCTTCACTGAGGGAGGGCTTCTGAGCCTGCCATGGATGGGCTGCAAACAGCAGGTTCCTGCCATCCGGGGGGCTGGCATGTGGGAGGCACTCAGGAAATGTGGGTGCCTTGCTCGGCACCAAAAGCTCCAGGAAATGAACAGAATGGACGGATCTAAGTGTAAGCAAAGCACAGGGAGACAGAGAGGAGAGACGTGATCAGAGCAGACAGCTGAGACTCCATCAAGGGAGCGCCTGGGAGGATGAGAAACCAAGAGGAGCAGGGAGCCAGGGTGGAAAAACAGGTCACAAAAAAGGTCTCTAGTGCCCCTGTCTTCTCCCAGTCACCCAAGTCCATATTCTAAGCACGTACGCACACGAGAAACTGAAAACAAGAAAAGGTGGTAATTTCTTGGTGGCGGGGACACCAGTGTTGCTTCCTAGCAAGACACAGGTCCTTGAATAACATCATTTTGTGATAATGTTGATGAGAAAAAGGAATTGTGTCCCAGCGGGAGGCACCTTCACACTCTCCTCGTGCCTGTGCCTGGCTCCAGGTCCTCTGGTTTCCTGCCACATCCTGAAGCCCAGCCGGCACACGGACAGGTCCTGGTGTGAGCAAGTGTAGGAGAGCATGGGACTCCCCTGCTATGGGATAGCATCTGCCCAGAGCTGGTTCCCACTGAGGCACTAAGCTCCATCCACCCTCAACCCTGAACTGCAATAAGCAGGTAAATGATGTTCTTCCTTATTTTAATTCATTGTTCTTAAATGTGTGTACAGCTCCCATTTACTTCAACGTTTAATATCAGAAGTGCTCTGGGTCTTTATTTAGGAGTCTGTTGATGTTTTTATGACCAAGAGTCTGCCAGAGGAACTTGCTCTTGTCTATATCAATTAGTCTGTGATGAAATCGATTTTGTGACCCGGGGCACAGTATTAATAATTGTCAAGTTTATAGGAAACATTTTCAATATTTCAAAAAATAAATGTGTCAATCAGCTATTCAATTAACGATAAGAAACAAACACAAATGCTAAGCACTCCACCAGCCTTTGGGTGGTCTCAGGTGCACACTAGAGATTTTCCAGCGTGTAATATCCATACTCTCTGAAGTGGGCTGTTATGTCACCCACTCCACAGATGAAAAGACTGAGGAGAGAGATGTTCCAAATCTCAGCTTAATTTGAGCCCCGGGAAAGAACAGGTGTCACATACAAAGCAACACAGAAAATGGCTCAGGTACAGTGCAAGAGAAGCCTGTGTGCGTGTGCGTGTGTGTGCGTGCGTGCGCGTGTGTGTGCGCGCACGCGCGCGCGTGTGTGTCGTTTTGCACACACAACCCCACGATTTGCAAAGCAAGTAAAATCAGCCCCAGAAGGCAGGTCAGGGCAGGGTGGGCTGTTCCAGTCCTCGCCGGGCTCCAGCTGGTAGTCCATGCGCCATCAGAGGAAGGGGGCTGAACTGGAACCAGGGAACCAAGGCACAGGGCACGGCCCTCTCCTCTACTCCCTGTGCTGTGGGGCCCCTTCCCTCCTCCCTCCTTTCCACCAGCATAGATCAGAGACAACCCAGACTAGAAGTAACAGGAAATACATACACACATTCAAAACACAAGACCCATCTCACTACTGCTCTCTAAGACAGCCTCTAAGCTACCTTAGTTTGCAGTGGGTTCTAGAAAATACGGCTGGGTTGGCTCCTGCATCAGATGAGAACCTTGGCCTACACTGACCTCTTGGATTTATTCAAAATTGTAAACATTAATATATGACATTCCCTAAAATAGATCCCAAGCGTTACACCAACTTAGAGCCAGTAGCTACTTAGACTTGGTATGGGAGAGCCGCACTGTGTCAAGCCTGATACAGACTAAGTCACTCATTCAGACAAACGCATGGGACGCACATCAGTGGGCACTGACTGGCTAATGCTGGAACCCAGAGAATCCCTGCCCACACCTGCCCACTGCACAGCTCTCTGTTGGGCAGCTCTGTGTGGGCCCGGCTGTGAGCCCTGGATATGCGGTGCTGAGTGTGGCCTCTACCTTCATGCAGCTGAGAGTCTGAAGGAGGAGACAAACATTAAACAAAAACATACACACAGAAACCGTCGTTACAAACTGTGCTGTGCCTGTGGGATGAGAACTGGGTGCTATCAGGGAGATGGGAGCAGGGATCACTCAGTGAAGACAGTCTGAAGACCTGACTGCTGAGAGTGACCAGAGATGAGCCACAGCTGGCCACAAGAAAACGGAGGAAACAGCGTTCTGGGTAAAGTGTGTGCAAGGGCCCTGTGCTGGCACCTTCAGGGGACAGACAGGAGTCCAGTGAGGCCGGAGATCAGCATACCAGGAGGCGGCATAAAACAGAGCTGGACAGGCTGGGCGCAGTGGCTCATGCCTGTAATCCCACCACTTTGGGAGGCCAAGGCAGGCAGATCACAAGGTCAGTAGATTAAGACTATCCCCATCTCTACTAAAAATACAAAATTTAGCTGGGCGTGGTGGCGCATGCCTGTAATCCCAGCTACTCGGGAGGCTGAGGCAGGAGAATCACTTCAACCACAGAGTTGGAGGTTGCAGTGAGCTAAGATCGCACCACTGCACTCCAGCCTGACAACAGAGTGAGACTCTGTCTCAAAAAAAAAACGACAAAACAGAGCTGGACAGTGAGACAGGATCCAGGCTGCAGGACTGAGGAAGGCAGACAGCGAGAAACTGCTCTGGGGCTTGGGGAAGAAAAGCAAAGGCTGGTGTGTGTGTGTGTGTGTGTGTGTGTGTGTGTGTGTGTGTGTGTGTGTGTAGACAGAGTCTTGTTCTGTCTCCCAGGCTGGAGTGCAATGGCGAAATCTTGGCTCACTGCAACCTCCTTTTCCTGGGTTCAAGTGATTCTCCTGCCTCAGCCTCCTAAGTACCTGGGATTACAGGCACCTGCCACTGCGCCCATCTAATTTTTGTATTTTTTTAGTAGAGACGGGGCTTCACCATATTAGCCAGGCTGGTCTTGAAATCCTGACCTCAGGTGACCCGTCTGCCTCAGCCTCCCAAAGTGCTGGGATTACAGACATGAGCCACCACGCCCGGCCCCAGTGTTTACATTTTAACAATCTCTGC